GCTTAAAATACTATTTTATATATCAGCTTTGAATACTAGCATATTTTCACTGAGTTATCAGCTTTCTTCTCAGCATGAAAAATGACATCAGCATTTATGCCAATACATCTATTTAGAAAATTATGCTATTAGATCCCTGAGAATGATAAAAAGATTATTATCTACATTAACATATTCTAGTTTATCCAGAAAAACAAAGCATTACTTCTGAAAATGTTCAGCCAATTCAGAAAGGGAGCATTTTCATCTGTCTACTCTTTTGATGAACTTGTAATTAAAAATTACAGCTGAAGTGCATATTCATTTGCTATACCCTATTTTCCGACCACCTTGGATCAGACAAAAAAGGATCAAAGCACCTATTTTGATGATAATATTTCCTACAATGAAAATGGAGCTCTTACATTTAAGAAGTAGCAAATATATCAGCATTTAATCATCATATAATCCGAGAAATTCGTTATCATTGCTCCTAAAATCAAATACATATTTATTTTCACTGTCACTGGACCTGTCATTTTACTCATACACAATGTTATCTTTACTTCCATTTAGCATATTCTTAGTGACATCATAAGTTGGCATCTCGATCCATTTTATCCACTCTTTAAGCATAAATTCCTTGAACAGTTTGTTGACTGAAATGTCCAGAGGCTGCAATTAAGAGGACAATCTACCAGGAATCACAGCAAGATGTGTCTTCAGTTCAGTAGTAAGGATTTTTGCTTACTCCGCTATATAGGCATTAAACTGACTGCACACTAATAAAAAAGATTTGTACAAAGTTAACCTAGACACCTGTATTACACTTTCTGTAACCACAGCTTCATACCCTCTCCATCCACCTATCCTTTGGCATAAACTTGAATATAAATTTCATGTGGAATTGTAGATTTATGCACCATTTTTCGTTAAAGATTAATTAAAAACGGAGGGAGTTTTAAGCAATCAGCACAATATGCAAGAACTGCAGTACAGCACATCTTCTTGTAAACAAAAGTTTTTATCATTAATGTTTTCGCACCTGTAACATCCAACATTCAATTTGATGGCACATCAAATGTTAAGGTCATCCATATTTCCAATATGTCTTATCTTAAAACACAACTTTTTCTCAAGTTTATGATGTATTTGTGGAATTCTACAATCTTTCTTTTGTATTCAAGTGGCAGATTTTGTGCTATTGCAGTTCTGGTACCCATGCACACACCATTTCTCTTCATTTATCTCTTACACAATGACGTTTTCCTAGAAAAATCAGCAATAGACATACCCACCACTAAATTTTTTGCTTTAATTAAAATCATTTTTGTTGAAACAGTAATCCCATTCTTCCTGTGATTCATTATCCAGTTCTTAACATATTCCTCAAGCTTTGACCATAAGGGAATGCACAGACTTGGAGTTCTACTCCTATCTGCATTCACTAAATCAATCTTCTGCTTCCTCCATTCTTGTATTATCTTCTCAATTGAGAATGAGCCAAAGCACCTTTCAGCTGCTTTGTAGCACAGAAACAGATCAGCAGAAAGTTTCAAGAATAAATGCAATTGCTTATAACAATCTTCTTTCTTTATATCTCATGAGAGTACTCTAATTTTAACTTTTTATGCAATACTTAGCTTCTCCATGTAAAAGCAAACAGGAATACTAAGAAAGGAATGATTAGATACTGAACAATACTCTCATACTACTTAACAGCCTGTATATTCAGTTTATTATCACAACAGATATTCTGATTCCAATGATAACAATCATCAAGAAACTTTCACTTTAAACCAGCAGAAATTCGCCAGCCAGAAGAGCACTTGTATTTTGAAGTGCCAAACATGACGTAAACAAACAAATGTGAGCTGTGTAGACATGGCAGCTCCCAAGAATTGTCGTTTGGATTTAAAAAAGTAATACTAAATATAGAAAAAGTAATACTAAAGAATATTACCATTTTCAGATATGAGGGACAGTGCAGAAAGTTAAAAAAAGTTATGCTTCCATACCTGTAAATGTAATAATGACAAATGCCATATTTTTAATATTACTGCAAATTAATTACGATTTATTTAAGCACCTTAATTTTATTAACAATTTATTCATAAATCTCAGATATCTTAAAAGAGAACAATAACACAATATATGAAAAAACTTTAAAATACCAATCTGCACTTTTTATTTACAATAATATATCACACAAACGATAGTATTTGTTTATCCATTACTTTTATTTACTATACAAAATGAATCTTCTAAACTCAAATGCAACTGTGAAATGATTTGCAACCATTAAAATAAGGCACAGTTTTTAAATTAAACTTTTAGAATCCTCTTTTTTTAACATTACAGCTATGTCAATGCAAGAAGTAGCAATTTTTGTGCACAATATTAGACACAGAACCCATTTTATATGTGCAACCAATATACTAAAAGACCCTTCAAATAATTGTAGCCATTTTTTTTTTTTTTTTTTCCCCCATTTGTAAGCTAAAAAAATCCTTAATCCTTTTTTAAAACATGCTTTTTCCTTCCCATGTGAAGGAAAATCCTTTTCACTTTATCCTTTTCATTTCCCATAAGCAAATATTATCTTGTATATATATATGGCTTGTTAGCAGAAAAAGGTACAGTTTTACTCTTTATTAACTGGCAATTTATATTTTCACTAGGTAATCAAAATTTATGATTAACTTACATGTTAATAGCTCATGAGTGTACTCAAGCTCAATAAATCTTTTATACAGAATTACTAGTATTTGGTAATTAATTACTAGTATTTGGTAATTTGGTAATTAAACTAGCTAAACATGTAAAAATGACAGTTCAATACAACTTTTCAAAAAATTCTGCATATGGAGCTACATAATTTGTTGTCTTACTAAGATAATCCAAATGGAAAGTACAAAATCCATTATCTCTGATAAATGTTTCTTATAATACCATACTTTCTTCTGATTAGTTAAGATGTGAGCAACTCAGCAATGAGAGTAAGACTTTTTATCTTTAGTTGAAATCCTAAACTTCAGAATGAAGAGTACTCTTCTATTAACGAGATTCAAAAATGTATGTAAGTATGCACATGTGTATTTTGGATGCATCTGCATATATATGTGTGTGTATACATGCATACATGAACATATACATCTATGCATATATTGCATACATAGATACATTTCTCAATCCAGTCTTGATAACAGAAGAGTACCGAATGAAGTCTTTAATTTAGATGTACAACTATGCTCTTCAGTGAGCGGTTGTATCTTCAATCAATTACAATGAATCTACAGCAGAACCAAAATTGCTGCCCAGTCTGAAAAATGTCAACAGCCATTTACATTTCTGTCATTAACTTTTGAGGAGATACTCGAGTTGAACATGATCCATATAATGTAGTGATTCTGAATTAAAATTATACATGATGCTTTATTCAAATGCTGAACAATAAGTACAAATGAAGAACTGTACAGTATTTAGCACTAGATATTAGGCATGCCAACAAGATTTTTAGCTTCAGAAGTAAAAAACATTTCAAATATATTTTGTTCAATCCTTAATTCTTCATAGATCCTAAACTAGATACTAAAAGTTAAATACAATTTTTATAGAAAATGTATTTCATGTTTTCTAATAATATATACAATAACACTTAAAATCAAGTTTCTATCATTAGAAATAATGTTTAGGAAGAAATGGGACAATACAAGAAAAACTATTAATACAAAAAATCAACGATCTCCAAAATAATTATGATCAGATGTTTGCAAACCATAACAACTGTACAGAAACACTTCAACTTCATTACACTTTCATATATTATACCATTCTAGAGAGCATTTCTCAGACTTCTTTTAAATGAAGGCCACTTTTATACATTTAAATACTCTATAGACCACCTTATTCGTCTCCTCCAAAAGCAATGCTTAAGCAAAATACTACCAGTATAATTGTATTTTTAAGGTATACTTAATTCTAATGGATTTAATTTTACACTGGCATTAAGTAATTACAAAAACAGAACAAAAATGTATATTTGTTTTTAATAATTAAAAGTCATTAAAGTTTGGATAATTAACTAAAAATTAAACAAATATTGATAATCAAATTAAAAAGATGGATGAGCCTGTAGGTTTTTGCATAGTTGTTCTATGTTTGGTAAGAAGGTTGGTTGGTACACTGGTAAGAAGCATCATAGTCACAGCATTTTAAATCCCTCTTGCTAGGACCAGAGTGGGATTGGCAAAAAAAGGTGATAGAAGATTGCTATCTGTAATTTCCCAAATGCTTAGATTTTTCAGCTATAACATGGGATACGCAGTTCATTTGAAGGCTCTAGTGTAGAATTGGGTGCCCCTTCGATTAGCGACAATTTTTTTTTTTTTTTAATTTTGACGATGAAATCTCACTTCTGGTTACCATGATAGTTTTAACTCTGTTTTAGCTTCCTGATTTTATTTAAATGAAAATAGATTGATGTGTACATGGACAAATTTAAGGCAGTGCGCAATGCCTAGTTTGTGCAATTCTAGGATGTTTTTTTAAGTGAAAACAGATCAATGTGTACATGGACACAGAGTCTGTGCAATTCTTTGACCTCTTATTTTGGTTTTGTGTAGCGACCATCAAGAAATTGTACCTTCCTGGTGGGTGCCGATCTTGGCATCAAAAAAAGAATCGCCAAAAAACAAGGGGCGCCCAATTGTAAACTTTTACCCATTTGAATTATCTTGTTCTTTTCCTCTTTTTTTTTTTTTTTTTTTTTTTTTTTTGAAATCTAGGAGGACCACGAGGGTAGGCTTCGATTTGTGACCCGCGGACTGCAGTTTAAGAAATGCTGCCTTACAGGATACAGATAATATATTTCCAAAAATAACTCATAACGAATTACTTTTGATTCAATAAGTAGGGTGTATTGATCTGCGCATAAATATAAAAGAAAAAATTAGCTCTCAGGAGCATATATTAATATTCATTACAAAATATATCACATACAAAAATGGTTATATGCTTACACCAATAAGTTATGGCAGGATCTCTCTTTTCATGTTCTTCAGCGATTTTTAAATACGGTTGAATGGATTTTAAATTTGGGGGTACTACTTTTAAACTTGCCATTAGTTTAGTTTTTATGGAGCATACAACTCAGAAACAGAGATTTACTTCCCATCATCTGATCAAAACAAAAATCATGCTGCCAGCTTCAGTTTCAAAATATAGGAGTATTAAGTAGTCTCAGAGGACATGCGCACAACTACACTGCTGAAATCATAAGTATTGTTGATGTAACTGGCATCAGCACGTGGGACTGTGTTTGTATCACCGAGTCGTATTTGTTTTTAACTAATATTTAGATTCCTCTGGTAAGTTTTTTTTATTAAGATGATATTTTTTAAATTACATTTTTATGTATATAGAATGTACTTTTATATTTAAGCTTTTGTGCAACTTTTATGCGTGATACATAGACAATAATTTATGATTGAAAAATCATGTTTATAACTTAGGCTGACAGTTTGTTCTGTATTTAATACTGATTTCTTCTGTATTAAAAACGAAACAAATTTGCCTTTTTTAAGGAAAAAAGAGGGGGAAGTAAACGGGCAGTTTTTTCGATATTTTTCGCCTGGAAATTATTTTACAGTATAAATATCTGATATATGTGCAATAGACGTGCCACTTTTAATTATAAATTTTCTTCAACCCTGAGACTTATATATTCAGGCTTAACTGCTGTGTTCTTGTAGGTCATAGTAATAACAGATAAGTATTTTTTCTATGTAACTAAAAAAATTTGCGGAAAAAGTGCAGAATCACCCATTGCTTGGTACGTTTTTAAGAATTGCACAAACTCGGTATCATGTACACATCGACATATTTTCACCTAAAAAAAATCCTATAATTGCACAAAAATGGCATTGTGCACTTCCTTGACTTTATCCATGTACACATCGATCTGTTTTCACTTAAAAATCAAAGAAAATTGACACAAAACCAATTCTTCCTCTTGTAAAAAGCGCCAAACAAATAAGTGTGAAATTCTGCACTTTACCCAAAATTTAAAAAAAAATTCTGAAAGCTTTGAGATTTGACATTACGAACATTTTTGTGTGTTACCTTTATTTATTAAATATCATGTTCTTTGCACTTAAACCATAAAATTCAATTCAACAGCAGTATCGCAAAATAATTTTAAAATGAGCATATTAGAATTTTCCATACACCCTCTCGCGTGTTAGAGATAATGGCTAATCTTCGGAATATGGTAACAGGTAGTTTGGCGACATTTTGGTAAGGCGATAAAGGTTACTAGCTAGGACTTTAGCAGTGTACATGGATAAAGTCAAGAGTGTATGCAATGCCATTTTTGTGCAATTCTGGGATGTTTTTTTAAGTGAAAATAGGTCGACGTGTACATGGATGATACCGTGTATGTGCAATTCTTAAAAACGCGGCAAGCAGTTTGCGATTCTCTACTTTCTCCCAATTTCGCACCTAATCTTCGTCATGATTAAGCATTTTTGTTACATAAAAGTTCTAGTATAAGCGTATTTCGGCTAGCAGATTGTTGAAAAAAAATGTTAAGTAAAAAAAAAAAATGCCTTTATTTCGTGAAAACAAAGTGCGTCCAAAACAAAACTACTAGGTTGCTGGTTGGTTGCCAAAAAATCGCTAAGTTACCATAATCCAAAGATTAACCGAGATAATTCCCCCCCCAGTACAGTGTTGCTATGCCTTGCTTTGATATCATTCAGTTTGTTGATCAAAAATTCTTTAATGTCTCACAAAATATGAAATAGTTAATACAGTCAAAAGTCTTTAATCCAGACGTCCATAATCTGTACCTCAAAGCTTATGCGTTGAAGCATGCGCATAATACCTTTACGCGTGCGCATATGTGTTTACGCATGTGCATAATACCTTTACGCATGCAATGTGCATTTAATGTTAAGCTAAGCTAAAATTATCTAATTATCTATTTCAGTTAATGTTGCAGATTGCGTTGTTCCTTAATCTTCTAATTGGATCCGGCTTATTATTTTTTGCAGACTGTTAGAGCAATTTTATAAAAGTAAGCTTGAACTTTCGATTATGTCAAATAGAATTCCGATGCTGGATACTGCCAAAGAATCTATAAAGTGAATAATAATTTTGTGCATCTCCAAATCAGATGATGGTGGTTCAGTGAGTTTACTAATTTTAACACTTTTACATTTTAAACAATATTTTAATTACTATATACAGAGCGTATTCTTAGGCCGCCGCCTTCAACATGAACAAACTTTATTCTCTTACAACTAAGCAAGCAACAGCGCCCTCTAGCCTTTTTCTTCAAATTACACAACACTCCCCACCTGAACTCGGTGGAGAGTTCATCTTTCAATATTATATTCTAGAATATTCAATTAATATTTCGACAATAAATCCTGGAGAAATGGTTAAATATAACAAACATGCATACATAATTATAAGCACATAAAATTTTACAAAACATTAAACGATACCTATCAGCAAGGTCAGGAGAATCAAACCTAAAAGTACAAATACAAACATTAGTTAAGTTCCATATTATATAACAATTGTATAGGCCTTTTTAAGGTACCAGTAGGTGTTTTAATTATGCAAGATCTTATTTTACCATCTCTGCCTGGCATTAATTCCAAAATTTGCCCTATTGTCCAGAAATTTCTGGGATGTTAATTGATTAGCAGGGCAGAGATAGTAATCATCTACCAACCAGAAATTGAGAGGGCGTTAGTGGAGAAGGTTCATTGGGATCGGTAAACACGTAGGTAATTGGTCTACAATTAATCATTGCCTGGATTTCAAGCTCTTTCACAGTAAGGGATGCTCGACCAATAATTTTTCGCAAGCTGGATTTTATGGTTCATACCATACGCTCCCAAAACCCTCGCCACCATGGACCCCTCTCAATAATAAATTTCCAATTTATGCCTCTAGCAGAAAATAATTCTTTCACAGATGAATCACTCAAAGTTTTAAAAATATGTTTTAGTTCTTTATCAGCTCTTTTAAAAGTCTTGGCATTATCGGAGTACATGGTGGTACACAGTCCTCGGCGAGCTAAAAATCTTCGGAAGGCTAGCAAAAAACTTTCAGTGCTGAGATCAGTTACTAACTCTATATGTAAGGCACGAGTGACCGCACACGTTAACAACAGCATGTAAACTTTACCTTGCCTGTCTTTCGTAAAAAAATGGACCGACGAAGTCCAACCCGGTCACAGCAAATGGAGGCGACTCTTGGATTCTGTCTGAAGGAAGTGGAGCGATATCCTGTACCCCAGGACGAGCAGTATATCGACTGTATATCACACATTTGCTGATGATAGTCTTAACACGCTGCTTTCACTTAATGATCCACTATTTGGCTCTGATCTGAGTTAGTGTCGAATTAACTCCAGTATGCAATGCCCTTTCATGTGAGTCCATGATGATCAACTCGGTGAACTTGCATTTAGAGGGTAATGGAATAGGGTGTTTTAAATTCTCGTGACAGTCTTTAAATTGAATGCGACATTTCAACAGAAGAATTCCCTCTTCATCAAGCCTTGGATTAAGGGAGTAAATGGAAGAACGGAGAATTTTTTTTATTTGATAACTTAATTATTTCCACTTGATACGGTTCTCGTTGCGTAATTTTTACCCAATAATGTTCAGCTGCTTCAATCTCAAAAGCACTTAAAGGTCCATTCTCTGTAGACCTTTTCCGAAGCCTCCCAATAAATCTAAATACATAGGCAGTAATTCGAAGTAATTTCCTAAAGAACTGAATTTTTCTATATGCAAATGGGATCATTGTTATTACAGGTGCAGTCAAAATAATACTTTTTCTTAACTCCAACGATTTTGAATTTGGTTTTAATTTCTTTTGTTTTGGAAAGTTTTCAATAGGAAAACGTAACCAGTGTGGCCCCATGCCACCACAAATCATTCTTAATTAACTGACGAGCACTAATTCCTCGAGTTAGTAAATCGGAAGGATTTTGTTCCCTTCGCATGGTTCCACAATTTTTTGTTGCATTACTCTGTATTCTGTAACACGATGGCGAAATGGTTTCCAATTTTTGGCGACCTTTAATCCAAGAATGGCGATTTCGGAGTCACTCCAAAAATAAACATCCTCATTAAATCACCACAATTTTTTTCAAATATTTATACATCGAGCAGCCATGAGTGCTCCATTAAGCAAACGAGAAGCGTGGGCTCTTAAAGGTGCAACTCTGCATTTCGACATGATAAGGAGTTTTTAATTTTGAATCACTCGTACATATCTGAAATATGGGGCCCCCTATGCTTTAGGACTGCGTCCGAAAATAGGTGATGCTATATTCATTGGATCGTCATCAAAGAAATTTCTCTTATCGATATTTCAGTTAAATCATTAAGTTCCTCCCGCCAAATTGAATTTTCCTAATCTCGGCAGGAGGACCTCATCCCAGTCAGAACGGACACCAGATTTCTTGGCATAATAATTTTGCCCGAATAACAAAGGGTGCAATAAATCCAAATGGATCGATATTTGGGCTATGCTTTGCAAAAGTTCCTTTTGTAGCAAATCGTTTCCAGTAGAAAAGTCAATTCATTTTTTTTAATTTTATAATCTTCAATGGATTCAATCATGCCTAAGAAATCGATTCCTAGTTAATTTGTTGTCTGATTCCTTAATCCCATGTGAGACCCATAAATCGTTTAATGCTTTAGAATTGTTCTTAATTTTCTGAAATTCTCCAGCATCCTTAAATATATTACCGCATCTACAGATAACCGATATGCATCTTCAACCTTCCTCTCCAAAATATAGGTCATCGACATAGACAGAAGAATTTAAACATTTGGAAACTGTCCGGTTTTATCTTTATATTTTCGAATGTGATATTTTATAGTGGCGGCCAAAATGAAAGGAGATATAGTCAACCGAAGCTACGCTACACATTTGCATAATCTTAAAGGAGTCATTATTTTCATAAACCAAAGAAATTTTAGAAATTTCTATCACCTCAGCAATTCCTATCATCAAAAAGGCTTTTCAACGTCTCCACAAAATGCTATCTTTACTTTACGAAAATTTAACATATTCTAGTATATTGGATTTAGATTAGGTCCCGATTCAAGGCAGTCATTAACGAATTCGTGTCCTCTGTCCTTGAGCTAGCATCGCACACAATTCTTACCC